ATTAATTTATCTTTAGAGGGGAAGGAGAGAGGGAGAGAAATATCAATGTATGGTTGCCTCTCATGCGTCCCCTGCTGGGAACTGGCCTGCAACCCAAGCATGTGCCCTGACTGGGAATCGAACCGTGACACTCTGGTTCACAGGCCCGAGCTCAGTCCACTGAGCTACTCCAGCCAGGGCTTAGGGTGATTTTTTTAAATGTTTATTTATTTACTTTTAGAGAGAGGGGAGGAAAGGGACAAACAGAGGGTGAGAAACATCCATTGGCTGTCTCTCTATACACCCTAACCTTTAACTTTGGGGGACAACCACCAACAAACTGAGCCCTGCCAGTCAGGGAACATCTTTATGTTTCAAGCTAGCGTATTCTGTTCAAGGGCTGCCGAGTGTTCTAATGCGTGGTTGTGCTCTAACACAACGGCCAATCTGCTGATAGACACTGAGCTGGACATTTGTCGTGTTTTCTGGCTGGCCAGCTCCTTTGGAACACTCATGTTTATAGAAAAAAACCATCACTATCCAACCTCCTTTGCAGCTCCACCAGCCATGCCCGTCTTCAAATCAGAACGGGACCCCAGGAGGAAATGGGCTGTGGGGCAGGACATCCATTCCGCCGGCAAGGGCACAGCAGGGCCTTCTGGCTTTGGACAGTAGGGGTTTCAAAGTGAGTTCCTGACGCAGAGGAAGTTAAACACAGAGTTACCACATGACCCAGCAATTCCAATCCTAGGTGCATAACCAAGAGAACTGGAAGACCATCCACATACAAACTTGCACGCAAATGATCATTGTGACATTATCCCTAATAGCCAAGAAGTAAAAACAACCCAAATGTTCATCACAGATAAAGAAAATAGTGTATATTCACACAACAGAATATCATTCAGCAATAAAAAGGAATTAAGTACTGACACATGCTGCAACCTGGAGACCTTGAAAATGTTAAGTGAGAGAAGCCACTCGCAAAGGACCGCATATCTTATGATTCCACTTATATAAAATATTCAAAATACACAAAGCCACAGAGTTCGAAAGTAGAACCCCATGGCCAGTGTCACTGGAGACTGAGGGAGCACCCGGCCAGGAACACAGGCCTAGCAGGAACATGGACATTACTTCCACTTCACAGCAAGGTGACTGTAAGTAATTACAATAAAAGGCACAACTGGTAAATTCAGGTTGGAGGAAAAAAATGCAACTGATTCTTGGCAAGTGTACAGCTCAGCCAGTGGGAGCCACGTGTGTATGGCTGCTTTAGAGAGTGGCCTATTAGTTCTGGGATTTCAGTGGGTTTCAGTCAGTATGTTTTGCAGTGTAAATGCAGAGCATCTCTGTCTCCTGAGGTGGTTAAGCAGAGGCTGACGAAGACAACTCCTGCATTTCTGCATGGAAACACTTCAAGTTAAGTGGACCTTTTGCATCTGAGTGTGCTTGCCACTTTTTTAGTTATAGTGCCCATCCAAAGACCGAGAAACAGGCCAGCTGTAAACACCAACCGACTTTGGTGTTGAGGACACCACGTGGACAGTTCAGACAGAGCCACACCTCCTCGGAACTGCCTGTCAGAATCAAATGAAACTCACGAAGCAGACTCTGCCCGGAAAGCCACTCGGATCTGGTATTTCCACCACCCAGGAAAAGCAGTTTCTATGCTGGTGCCATCCCAGACAATCAAATTAATCTATAAATTTAACGTGATCCCAACCAAATCTTAACAGGATTTTTCAATTGGAATTTAAGAATTTTGATTCTCTTCTGGAAAATGTTCAATAGCAGCCAAAAATAATCTGAATAAAGTTATGGAGTGGGGATTCTCCCTATATGTGAAAATGTAAATATAAACATATATAAACATAATACAAATATATTAGACTTGGTAACATGAAAGTAAAGGGATAAAAGTAGACAAATAAATCAATGGAATAGAATAAAGTGCAGAACAGATCCAAGTACGTGTGCCAATGAAGCTTATAATAGAGGGACATTTAAACTCTGTGAGGAAAGGGTGGCTTTTTCATTGACCCACGTGAGCTGACTGGTTAACTATTGAGAGGAAAATACTAGATTGAACCTCCTGCTTTGTCATCTCAAACATGGATGGCACAACTAGTTAAACAATTAGGAAAAAAGTTAAAACATTTTCAAAGCCTTTAAACTATATTTTTAATAATACTGGGGTGGAGAATGCTTTCCTAGATAAGATACAAAACCCAGAGCCATTAAAAAAAAAAACCTCAAAGATTTGTTGTGATAAAATTTAAACTTCTTTTAAAAGAAATACTATAGTAAAAGTTAAAAGAAAAGGGAAAGAGTGGGAGAAAATTGTTGTATCGAATTAATATCCAGAATATACGCAGAATTCTGACAATTATTTCAATTGGCAAAGGCTACGACCAGGAATTTCACAGAAAAATCCAAACCCAAAAAGGAGGAGGAGAAGGGGGAGGAAAAAGAAAAAAAAAAAGATACTTAAACTTGCTTCTCCTGTACCTTTCCAGAGACAGTGAGTGCACACAAACAACATTAATGTTCTGTTTTCCTTGTCATTTTACTACAAAAGGTGGCATATTATATAATTTTGCATCTTGCTTCTTCATGTACTAGAAACAAGAGCTATGTCAATGACTATCACACATCAGTAGATTAAAATTTTTATCACAAAATATACATGGAACACATAAAACATTTTTATAATGCTTAAAGTGAATCTTTACGATATTCCCACCCAGTATAGAATACCTACAAAGCCCCCCCTAATCACATCACCCACCCTCTTTGCTCTAAGTAACCACTCTCTTGGCTTCTCTTTATAGTTTTACCACCTTCATATGGATCCATAAACAACAGAGCTTCCTTTTCTTGTTCTGAGCTTTACCAGATGGTATCACAGTGTTTTACTCTACGACTCCCTTGATTGACACTTCAGTTTGCTGTCCTGGCTGGTAGCTCAGGTGGTTAGAACTTCATCCCTATACACCAAGGATGAAGGTTTGACCCCAGTCGGGGCACATCCAAGAAATCCACCAATGAATGCATAAATAAGGGGAACAACATATCAGTGTTTCTCTAAAATCAACCAGCCAATAAAAGAATTAAAAAAAAAAAACACAACCACTTCAGCTGGTTGACAAGTGTGGCTATGTTTAATTTTTTGTCACTGCTGCATAACATTCCTGTAAGAATATAGTAGCACTAGTTTTTAGGGACTTTTGGGTTGTCTCCAGTTTGGGGTAATGTTGCTATTAAAGATTTTGTACATCTCTGGATCCAGGGCAACCATTTTTAGAGTGGTGGTCAGTGAACCCTCTGGGGTTCCCTGGGACCTTATCAAGGACCTAATTTATCACCAAAGTTAAAACCATTCTTTCCTGATACTAGGATGTAACGTGCTCCTCTGGTCTGCGGACACTGCAGCAGTGGGACAAAGGCAATGAGTAAAACTTTAGTGAGAGTCAAGTCCATGGCTCCCAACTGTGCAGGAAGTCATTTTTGGCCCACCTAGTATATAACTGTATCTCATTTTTGTTTTACCTGGCATATCCTTCATTACTAACGGGAGTGAATTTTTTTTTCACATTTATAGGCCATTTGCACTTACTCTTGTAAAATGTCAGTTCAAATCTTTTCCCCACTTTTAATGCAACAGTTTGTCTGTTTTACATTGTGAGGTAGTCTTCACATTTTTATTGGTTTTAGAGAGAGGAAGATAGGGAGACATCGATTTGTTGTTCCACTGATTTACGCATTCTTTGGTTGGTCCTTGCTGCGCCTTGACGGCAGATGGTACCCGCACCTGGGAGCGCTGGGACATTGCTCTGACCAACTGGGCCGCCTGGACAGGGCATAAGATGTCCTTTATAACATGTCTTTAAGTCAGTTGCGTGTGACAACCAATTTTTCTCCACTTTTTAAATTTTTTTAAAAGATTTTATTTATCTTTGAGAGAGGAAGGGAAGGAGAGGAGGAGAGAAACATCGATGTGTGGTTGCCTTTCGTGCATCCCCTGCTGGGAACTGACCTGCAGGGAACCGGCCTGCAACCCAGGCATGTGCCCTGACTGGGAATCGAGCCTCGACCGTGTGGTTTGCAGGACTGTGCTCAATCCACTGAGCTATGCCAGCCAGGGCTTTTTCTCCACTTTTTTATGTTGTCCTTTTCACTTTTAATGGTGTCTTTCACTGAAGTTTTACACTTTAATATGGTAGAATTCATCATTCTTTCCCTGTTTTGAGCTTCTGTGTGACTGTGCTGACTAGAATATCAAGTATGTCAAGTATAGTCAAGAAATGAAATTGTAACAGCAGGCATCTTTATCTTGCTCCTGATCTCAAAGAGAGAACTTTTCAAGACTTCCTTAAAAAAAAAAAAAAAAAAGAGGAAGCCCTGGCCAGGCAGCTTGGCGTTGGAGCATCATCCCACCCTCACAGCTGTGGTTCAACCCCTGGCAACCAGTGAATGCAAGTAAGTGGGACAAACCAATGTCTCTCTCCCTCCCTCTATAAAAACCAAACCAGTAAAACATATGTCAAAAAGCTTCGAGCACTCTCCCTCTCTGGGGCATCCCTCAACTTTCCCTCCCCTTTCCCCTACACCCCAGGCACATCCCTTCGCCTTTCTCTCTCCCAAGCATCAAAGGCCCTTCTTTTGCCTTTGCAACTTGCTTCCTGAGCCTGCGCAGCCCAGCTGGCTCACTCCTTCTACCTCTGTAACTTTCTAAATAAATGTACTCTTACAATTTCAAAAATAAAACTTTGCTTATAGTTAAAAGTTAAAAGAATTCATTTGTTTTTTTAACTTTGATTATAGTTTGTAAAGTTTTGCTGTGGAACTTTTCCATAGATACCCTTAACGATAAGATTAGCTGTGCAGACTCGCTTCTGGCCAGCTGGACAGGGCCAAGTGGCGGTACAGACCCGGTGTGGGTGGGAGTGAGCAGTGTTCTTCACAGACATTGTAAGTCCACTTTGAGTACTCTATTTAAAATAAAATAATATTGAGTGTAAACTGTAATTGGAGATTTTATTTTAGAGAGAAGTGAAGGGAGGGAGAGAGGGGGAACAGCAGTGTGCAAGAGATACATGGACCGATTGCCTCTCACACGTCCCCAACCTGGGACCTGGCCTGCAACCCAGGCATGTGCCCCAACTGGGGTCGAACCAGCAACCCCTTGGCTTGCAGGCCATCACTCAATCCATCTAGTCACACCAGCCAGGGATTGATACTCTACTTGTAAAAGCAAATAGCAGCATTCTTCTTCTACCCTCAAAAGTGAAAATCTCAGAGCAGCAGGTGAAGAAATGCATTCTCTCCCCTTGTTGCTTCATTCCTGGGACTCAACAGGGGACAGACCGAGCCACAGGGGAGGAGAAGCAGCAAGTGGAGAGAGGACACATCTTTCATCCTGATGAGCACAATGCTGCCCCCTGCAGTCACACCAGGGATATGACTTTAAACACCACAGCCAGACACTCTTATTTCTCCTCAGCAGATCTGCGTATGGGAAATGAGGGCTCTTGGCCTCTCCAGGAACGGGGCTGGGGTGGACGAGAACAGCTGCAGGCAGTACAGGAGCCCAGATTCTAGTTTTGATGTTAGTTTTTATTCCCTAGGAACAAAGATATTCAGGGGAGAAACTCCACACATTAACAGGAGCACAAAGGACAAAATGATACCAGGGTGGCATGGCTCAGAAGTCAAGATGGACATTCCACAGTGTGCCTGGTCATGCCTGGTTTCTTAGGCCAACATCTGCCCACCCCCAGGTGCCCATTAGAGGTGGGGCTGGGACAGTGAGGTGGAAAGCTTCCCCTACTCGACACAAAGGAGATGAATGTATTTGTCTACTCCAAAAGGCCTCCCAGGAACACCAAAACCTCCCTCTGAAAAATGGAGGTAGACAGGTAAGAATGAGGGGGCCTGGGTGTCACAGACAACCTGAACGTAAGGGTCACAGAGGCCCCTAGTGGCAGACAGAATCTGCACTTAGGTGAGACTGCAAGGGAAGCAACAGCTAGTTTACGGTAGAGGTGGTCAACCTTGTCAGACCAGGCCCCGCGGCAGCTGAAACCTGCACTGTGGTTTTTCCATCCACTTCAAAGAGCTTGGTGGAGTTCAATCAGAAGCCACTCTCATTTTCCCAGGGGATCCCCTACCATCCTCTTTACTGGCAAAGTCTGTCCTATCCTCATACCTTCTGTGCCCTGGAAGCTTCGACTGCAGCACAGACCCCTAAGCACAAGGTCCTTTGGTATCAGCGAGGTCATCCAGTCCCTGCAGAATACATCAACTAGCTCCGCCCTGACCACATCTTAGACAAGGGCCGGTTCCTGAGTCCAGGTCACAGTGGGGTCTCCTGGAGGGTGAAGGTGGGGCTGCTCCCCTTGCAGACTGGGCCTTCCTCAGGCACGGCCATGGCCTCCTTGTCCCCACAGCCCTGCAGCATCCCATTGCTCATCTTCTCCGGGAACCCTGTGGCGTCCACAGCGGGGTCCTGGGCACACACAGAGCAAAGGGAGCAGACTGAGGAGCAGGAAACAGGGCTGGGGAAGCGGTGCGTGCAGAAGGGGGAAGACCCTGCTCAGACCCCAGTAAGCGGGTGTGTGTGTGTGTGGCACGAGGAGGGGAGCAGAGGAGGGGCCAGCAGGCTGTGGGCCTCTCTGCTCAGACCCTTCTGCCCACCGAGCTGGTGCTTCCCCATGGGCAGGAGCCAGGGCAGCTGCTGCAGGATGGTCCAGGCTCAGACACACCATCAGAGACAGGGGTGCTGGGTGCAGGGGGAAGGAAGAGGGATGGAAGGGCCCCCAGAAGGCCCCGTGGTAGTCTGGAGAGGGGAGGAGGGGGGCGATGGGACAACGTGGGTGCTACCTGGCTGTAGCTTTTGTAGTGAAGTCGCTTCCGACAGGACACAGGCAGGAGGGCACAGAGTCTTGGCAGCACTGGGTAGATGGTCCGAGGGTCCAGGGTCCGGCCCCGCATTCCCCCTGAGGGTCAAGGTGCCTGAGTCTTCTTATGTAACCAGTGTACAATCCAACAAGCCCTCTGTTCTTGGGGTTCCCAGCCCTGCCCACCTCCTGGAGCTCAGCCCAGAAACATGACTGTTAATGAAACCAGGAGCCTAGAGGGTAGGGTCAGTTCTCCCCACAATGTCCAGATTCCCTGAGTGCCCTCCCTCGCCCCGCCCTGTGTTCCCGAGACCCCATCACAGGCCCTCTCACCAGTGAGGAGACTGACAATCAGACCCACCACGATGACCGTGGTGGAGTTGTGAGCGCTGTACCATAAATACGACAGGGAATAGAACCGCTGTAGCCCCGTGGCCCTGGGGAGAACGGAGCAATGAGGATGATTCCCTGACAGGGTATTCTCTGACCAGCCATCTCCACCCACCTGCATGGTCCTATGGTCTTGAGATCCAACACCCAACATTTCCCTGAGGCTGCTGGTGGCCCATTCCCTAGCAAGCCCCCTGGGAAGTCTCTCAAAAATGAGCCATTCTGAAGGAGAGTGAGGCCCAACTCACCTGGAGAGGGTGGTTGAGGGCATCAGTGTGGTCATGGTGATGGTGGACAGATTGCCGGACGGGGACAAGCTGGATCCATTAGATGGTGAGAGTGCCATGCTGGAGCCTGCTCTGGTCACTATGCTCCCAATGCCGATCCAGAAAGCCATGATGAGGCCACCTACCAGGCCCACAATGGCGCCCTGCCCGAACACACAGCACACTTTCCTGTCACAATGCCAACCCTATCGAACTGTCACAGCAGTTCCCAGAACTCATGGTGAGAGCCCTGCCAAGCCAACCCCAAGGTCCATCCCTGCACGGGACTGTGGAGCCAGAGGGGTCACTTACAGGAGGGTTGGCACAAGGAAAGAACATCCCGAGGCAGAAGAGTCCCAGCAGCGGCCCCCCGATCATGCCGAAGATGCTGATGGCCGCCTGTGGGGACAGGGATGGACACGAACACACAGGCTGCACCCTGGCCTCACTGGCACCACCTCTGAGCCTGCCTCTCCTGCCTGGGCCGGGCACGAGGCAGGATGCCAGGGCCAGGGGTGAGAAAGGGAAAGCGCCTTGGGCTCTCCTCAGACCTGATTTTCGCTGTCTCTGAGCCAACAGTGTCCCAGGGATGACTCTGGGCCTTCTGGCTACTTGAGTCTGTTCACAACTAAGGGCAGCTCATCAAAGGGGAGGGAATTTCTGATACCTGTCCTATTTTAGTCCCTTCACAATGGCTGTCTTTCTCAATTCCCAGTTTCAGTCTGTTCTTTTCTCCCTTAAAAACTGCTTTCTTCCCTCCATAGTCATTACCTACCTGCAGCACTGGTCCCATCTGGGAGGAAACGTAGGCCATTCCCAGGCAAAGTAGCCCGTAGCTAAAGGCTGGGATAAAGAGAGGAGACAAGATGTGAGTAAACGCACTAAAGGGGTGGGGAGTACAGTGAAGCTCCTTCCCCAGCCAGACCACTGTATCTGTGTTCCTGGAAACAGGGCACATTACCTGACACCCCAGCTCCAGGTCCCTCCCACCCTGTTCGCACCCCTATCTGACTCAGAGACCTTAGCAGGAAGTGCCCTGAGCAGTGGACAAGGTAATGTGCTTCATTCAATAATCAGCAAGTGCTGAGCCCAGGCTAAAAGCTGGTGCTTTAAAGAAGACTGGCGACCGTGTTTGTATCTTTGAAAGAACATGACTAAGCCCTGGCTGGTGTGGCTCAGTGGACTGAATGCCAGCCTGCGATCGGAAAGGTCACCAGTTCAATTCCCTGTCAGAATACATGCCTGGGTTACAGGAAAGGTCCCCAGTGCGGGGGGGGGGGGGGCAGGGCAGGGGGTGGTGCACAAGAGGCAACCACACATTGATGTTTCTCTCCCTCCCTTCCCCTAAAAATAAATAAGTAAAATCTTAAAAAAAAAAAAAAAAAAAGAAAGAAGGAACATGACTGAGGAGATAAGGAAGCATAATCCCACCAAGGATTCTGGAAAGCATGGTAGCCCGCACTTCTGAGAACCGAGGGAACGAGGGTCGAATCAGGTCTTCCATTGTAACGGTTGCCAATGAATTAAAGGCAGAGGATATGGTGCTGGAAGGAGGAAGAGAAAGACAAGCTACACCGAGAGAAGCAAGACTAACAAGGGACTCTATTGAGGGAACAGCACCCTAAAGGGAGGGGATGACATGTGAGGCCAAGAAGCCTTCCTCACACTTGGCAGCTGAGGAAGAGGCCTGGAAGGTAAGGACACTTGTCCTATTCTGAGTAGGGTACAGGTTTTGTTTAGTAGATCGACTCCTGGTATTATAAAAGAAGAATCCTTCACCAAAACAAGGAGCAGCTCTCGGAAAGGACATGCTCTGTCCTACACAAATGAGCCGTCCCCTGTCACCTCCCAGTGGGTGGGCATAATGAGGGATCGCCTCCTCTACCAAGTACAGGTCAGCTGCGCAAAGCCTGAGGGGAACAGTCGGAGAGGGTACCTGAGGGAGCCACTGAAGAGGCAGGCAACGAAGAGCCCAGGCAGGCCCGGCAGGCCTTTCAGGAGATCCATCACGAAATACAGGACAAACTGCAGGCAGAGCAGAAGTGCACAGCTCCCCTGAGAGGGAAGCCCCGCACATGCCCCAGCCAGTCTGGAGCATCGGGAAGAGGTGCCAAGTACTGCAAGGGACCCCCCAGTAAGGAGAGAAAACGGGCTTTGGGAAGAGCACCCAGTTCATCCCCAGCTCGGACCCAACTCGCAGTATGACCTGAGCATGCTGCCCATCTTGTTAAACCTCTGTTCTCTATAAAAGGAGCCTGTTGGGAGGGTTTCACAGGTGGTGCACAGTGGTGAGTCAACGAAGGTAGGCCCCCACCCAGCAGGGTGAGAGCAATGTGATTAGGCGAAGGTGGGGTGCTGAGGGCTGGGGTCCTAACATCCAGATCAACAGAATCCCGGAATGAAAAAAAATTTAAACCCACTTGCCCCCCCCCCCCGCCCCGGTCAGTCCTTTCTGTAGCCACCCAGACACTCCTCTTAAAGGGCCCAGGTTGGCCCCTCTTGGGCACAGAAGGGGCCAGAAAGGCCTTCTCACCTGGTCGGGGGCTGCCTGACTCTGCTCAGTGCTCATGGGATACTCCTGGTAGTAGGTGTACATGACCAGGCCGATGAGGCAGCCCATGCAGAGGACCACCTGCTGGCAGGGGAAGACCGCATAGCAGGAGCTGCAAAAGAGGCAAGGGTCAAGGGAGGGCGGGGCTTAACAGATGCCCTCAGGCATGTCCCTGAGCCCCAGAAAGCACACTCACATACTGACCCCAGTGGGGGGGGTGCTCTGACATCCTGTCCACACCCAAACTGCCTCCGTGGAACTGGGGCCCACTCTCTTGCCCTGGCCCTTGCTCCCCCGTCTTCTTGCCCCTGCACTCACAGTACAGCAGCCTTCTCCGTGCGGGAGCTGAGGTAGCGCTGCACCTGAGCCTGGTTCACCCCGTACAAGGACAGCATCATGAAGACACCCCCAAAGGCCAAGGTCCAGAAAGTATGCCGCACAAAAGGGTCTGGGTCTAGCCTGAAATAAACACCACCTGGTCACTGGAGGGGCTGAGGAACTACTGAAGGCAAGAACTGGGTGGACTCAAAAGACAGTGTAGCAAGTTGGAGGGAGGGTTCCATTCCTCCAACACAGAGCCTCATTCCAGGCACTAAATATTTCTGACCCTTCTTAACCACCAGCTGCCCCTCTGTGATCAGCCTCCATCTCTGCAGCGCCAACTTCCCACCCGTCTCAGTGCTGCACCTAAGGCTTCCACAACTTGCCTTCTGTTTACTCTAAACCTGAGCTCAGGCTCTAGGAAGGGCTCAGCTCCTAAGCACTAGAGACCACAGCCAGGGCAAGGGGTGTACTTACTTGATTCCAGAGATGAGGCCGTGCTTGGAAGCCAAATCCCACACATGCCCCAAGCCGCCCACCTTGGCTGACCCCACGATGATAACCGCCAGCTGCCCTAGGAACATGACCAGTGTCTGGAACACATCTGTCCAGATGACTGCTTTCAGCCCACCCTGTAAGAAAAAGAGCATGTCTAGCACAAACGTCTTCAAAACCCTCCACCAGTGAGGACACGATACCACCAGGAAGGAACACAATTATTGAAACCCTGTTGACATCACTTCCTCCCCATCCCTTAGCATCATATGCCATCCCCTCTCCTATATCTCACCCTAGAATTTCATTCCACCTTCTCACCTATCTTACCTCATTCATCCCTTCTTCTCCTTTTCCTCCATTCCATCTCCTTACTTCATCTGTTCTCCTCCCTCCCCCACGACTTTCTGCACTTACCAGGGCAGTGTAGATGGTACAGACAATGCCTAGGGTCAGCACTGAGAGCCACAGATCAAAGCCAGTCACTGTAAAGAGATAAAAGTCACATTTCCGTGTCTGGAAGAGGATTTCCCAGTGGGGAAGCCAAAGAAGCCTTGGTAAGACACGAAACATTTGGTCATTTAGGATGAAATAAATCATTCACCACAGAGGAAAAAAACGTGCACAGAGCTCCATCAAAAGGTGGTGTTTAACCGGTTCAGACGGAGCACAATAAGGTTTGGTTAGCCTTCCAGTGAAGCGAAGCAAGCATGCCCTCATCTCTGGTGGAGACCAGCCAAGGGCCACACATTGAAATAATTCCTAAGCCCAGGTCCGGTTCCTTTCTGCACACTCCCCTCCACCCGCCCCTCCAAAAGGTGCTTTCCCAGCCCACTGGGGCTGGGAGCCAGGGGCCGTGCCTCACCTGCATTGAGGGCCAACGACGGTGCATAGAGCACAACCCCCATGTAGATCACCTGTTGGGTACGCAGAAGAGAACGTGAGGGGAAGAGGAGATGAGAGTGGGCAGACAGCGGAGAAAAGAGGGACCCCAGCTCCAATGTCCCAGCATCCTCCTTTCACCTAGGCTCACTCCCTTCTCCCTTCTTCCAAATTTTGGCTCACTGCCCCCATAGTGTCTGTGGAACCAAAAGGAATGGAAAACAGGATGCTACTGGGCACTTCTGTGACACTGACCACTGGCAGGAATTTCAATCCTGACAGTTTGAGAGCAGAGAAGGCTCCGACTGCCTCAGCATGTCCGAGTTCAGGTCTCCTGCCATGCCTCGGGCTCAATTCTAGGCTCATTTCACTTACCATCTGAAAGATGAAAGTCAAGGTCCCACAAACTCGCACAGTTTTATTGAATCGGAGCTCCAGGTACTAAGTAGGAATATAAAAGAAAACAACAAGGTATTCCTCCCCACTCCACCCCCCACAGTTCATACATAATTTCCTTCAAGAGGTCCAGAAACATTAGAGACTATTCAATTGCCACTCCAGCCCTATTCGACACAGGACCCCCAAGCCGACCCCACCTGGAAAGAACCTATAAACACATGACGTGTCTGACATTCAAAGTTCCTGGGGATGTGTCCCTGTCCCTCTTAGTGGGCAGAGGTAATCTGAGGGCCCAGCTCCCTCACATGTGCTCTCTTCCCCGTCTCTGTCCCTGAGCCTGAGGGTCCAAGGTGCTCCTCCCCTCCTCCCTGCTCACCTCATAGGCACTGGTGAGATGCAGGCGGTAGAAGACAGGGATGAAGATGTGTGCAGGGATCAGCAGCCCCAGGAAATACGAGCAGCCCAGGAACCAATACTGGGTCCCATATTGGTAGATCTCAGACGGCACACCCAGGATGGCCACAGCTGACTGGAAAGTGGCCAGCAGGGACAGTGCCACAGGAAGGCAGGTCATTTTGCGGTTGGCCATCTGCAGCTGACCAATGGTGTGCCGGCCCCAGCCACGACAGGCATGGTAGAGCCCAATGACAAGGGAGAGAACCAGCAGCAGGATGAAGACCATGTAGTCCACAAGGGAGAAGGCAGATTTTACCGTGCTTGGGTCTGAGGCTGTGGGGAGGGGCGCGGGGGAGGTCACCCCCACATTCATGTCCTCTATGACCTGTAGCCACTTGCTGCTCCTGGGTTCTGGGCTGCCACTTAGCTGGGCAATGGCAGGCCAGTGGCTACTACCTGGCTCTCAACCAAGTTTTCACAGTTTTTCTTCTCCACCAAGTAACATGTCCAGGGTGACCTGCAACGGAATCAGCCCCTAGTCAGGTCTATCCTGACCTCATGGCCACCCACCCTCAGGCCTGTGCATCCCATACCCACCAAACTCAGACCAGCCAGTTCAGTGGCAGACCTGGAAAGTCTGCAGGCCCTAGTAGCAATTTGGTAGGGAAAGAAGGAGGGAGGAAGCAGAAGAATGAAATAGCCAGGAGACAACAACTCAGCCAAAACCTTTTTGAACATGCATAGCTGTGAAATGTAAGAACCTTCTTAGGTCCTTACCCCACAACAAAAGAAGAATCAACCGTAGCCCCTGTTTCTTTGCAGATTGCCCTGCCCCCTCCTGCAGGCACAGACCCAGTCACTACAATGTACTGAGCCAGCAGAGCCCAACCTGGCGCCATGGCCCAGCGGGGAAGAAGAAAAGGAGACTAATAACAAAAGCATGATTTCCTCTATTCATCTCTTCCCCCAGCCTCAGCTCCCACCTCCCATGACCCCCAGTTTCACTGTGCTAATAGCTCCCCTTCTCAGCACTGATACCTAATGAGATCACCTCCACGGTAGCCCCAAACTCCAGTCTCGGTATCCCCAGGTCAACCACTTCCTTCTCCCAACACGACTAGGTAAGCCCTGACACCTGCCTTTCAGCTACTCTACCTGTAATGCCACAGTCACTAGCAGATCTGGAAAGAGGGATGGGATTCAAAGTGAGAGGGGTTCCCCGCACGAAATGCCCAATGTAGCCACAGCCCCAGGCTGAGCCAGGGCCTGGAGCAGAGTCCGACAGTGATGGATCAGTCCCAGAGCTCAAGGAACAAGATTCCACACAGGCAACCATGCAACAAGCCCAGCTGGCAGCAGCAGCTGAAATGGATGAAGATTCAGCCAGCAAGGCAAAACAGAGCTGAAGTGAGAAGAAGGCACACAAGACTGTATCTAAACTGGGTTTTCAACACGTTATAGGTCGAGTAGCTGAAAGGCAGGTGACACCTGAAAGGCAGGTGACACCTGAAAGACAGGTGACTAGGGTTTACCTAGTCGTTTTGGGAAAAGGGAGTAGTTGACCTGGGGATGCCTGGACTAGAGTTTGGGGCTGCTGTGGAGGTGATCTCATTAGGTGTCAGTGCTGAGAAAGGGAGCTATTAGCACGGTGAAACTGGGGGTCTCGTGGGAGGTGGGAGCTGAGGCCAGGGGGAAAACCTAAGAATACCCTCTTTGTCGTCACAAAATCAGATCTATAAGAGTTCAGTTTCAGATACCTACATAGTTTGGGGAGAAGCTAAGATTGAGGACTTATCTCAGCAGGCACAGCTAGCGGCTGCTGAGAAATTCAAAGTTCAAGGTTAAGTTGTCTCAAACATTCAAGAAAACACAGATTCCAACTGTGCAAGAGGAAAGTGAAGAGAAAGAGGCTGGTAAAACAGGTGTGAAAATTAAGGACATATAATTGGTCATGTAACAAGCAACTGTGTCCAGAACAAAGGCAGCCCAAACCCGAAGAACAGCAGTAATGATAGTGTAAATGCTAGTATGGAATTAACAATGTAGCCATCTAAAAAAGGACCTTTTTTTGGTGTTTCAAAAGACTAACTGCAGCTTTGTTTAAAATTTGTACTGTTTCTATCATTAATAAAGTTATGGCTTCTTGTGGGATATAAAAAAAGGGAGAGGGCAACATCCTGGAGCCAGAGGTTCAGCCTTAACAATTAGTCTTAACTTTGGGAGAAGCAAACCAGCCAGGGAGCTAGGGCAACAGGAACAACCAGGGAGAGTGGCCCTACGTATCCTGCTGGGACAGACTCCTTACCTAGAGAAGCAGTCCCTTGTCTGAGGCTGACCTGCCTGGAGAAGCTGTGTCTGGAGCTACGCAGAGACTGAGCCTGGCTCTGGAAGTAGCTACAGTGAGACCAGGAGTCGGGGGCGGAGTGAAACTCTGAAGCTATTTGTTCTGGCCCCTTCGGGGAACCAATTGCTGTGATCCGAATGGCCCTATCACCCTATGGCCCCCAAACTCCAGCTCCAGAATGGGGAGCAGGGAGCTCACAGTCAACAACATTCCTAGATGGATTAGGCTTTCATTCTAAGTTTGTGCCAGAGGGAATTGGAGAGGAAGGGCTGAGAGAAGACGGAGAAGTTGCTCTTCTGACTCCTGCACAAGAAATACTAATCCTCAAAAAATATACCATTATCCTTAGAACAAGGACAGGGTTGCTGGGAACCGCCCTGCCTGGTTTCAGGAGCTGTAAACCCCCCATAGATAAGGCTGAGTGAGCGACCTTCGGACTGTGAGCCACTAAGGAGACAAAGCTTATCTCCCTGGCAGGAGCACCGCTTCTGCTTCATCCATCTCTGGCCCCCAATGCTTGGTTGGTTAGTCAATGACCCCCCCTCTGAGGTAAGACCCCCCTCAGAGGGGGGCAACCTAAGCCACACACGATCACTTGGGAGGCCCTCAAGGAAGGATTTGGGGGCAGCAGCAAAGAGGGGGTGATGGACCCTCGCCCCCCGGCTTTGACAAAGCCTGAGTCCTCAGTCTGTCTACCCTCAGTCTGTCTGCAAGAAGTCTCCTAGAATTCCGCAGCTATCTGCCTCCTCTGCCTGACATAAGCCTGAAACAATGACTGAGGGTGAAGCAGCCCTGTGCTGGGAATGGCAGGCTCCACCGGTGATTAGGCCTGAGAAAGGATATGTAAAATCCTGTGAAACTTGCTTTAGTAACAATGCTTTTAGTTAAATGATAAAGGCCCGAGCAGAAAATGAGTTTGTTTCCCAAAGTTTTGTAGCCTTTTAGCTGATAGACCCTGACTTAGAAGAAGCCCTAATAGTTCTTTGTATGCTATCTACTGTTTTCTGCCTGACAATGATTAATAAGTTGTACCTGAACTCCTGCACAAAAAAACAAAACAAAACAATAAAAGCCTGTCTAGGCAAGGGTCGGCAAGCTCCCCCCTTGAGGGAGTAGCCATGAGGTCCCTTTTCCTCCGCAGGACTTAGTAGGTCTATGTGAATTTGTCTTGATTCTCCGTCCATAACGCTGAGGGCTCTGCAGGCCAGTGCGCGTGTCACAGGGTCAGAGTATTTTAAACTTAGATATTAGGACAACACTCTTATTTACGATGGACACAGAGGCATAGGTGACTCAGTGATCTTGTCAACACCACGGAGCTGATTACTGTCAAAGGCTAGATTACAGCCCAGGTCTATAGATTTCCCCATCCATCCAGTCTCCATTTGTACCACACTGTCTTTAGAAACTACCCTCTAGGGCAGCAATTTTCAGTCTTTTTCATCTCGTGGAACATATAAGCTAATCACTACGATTCTGTGGCACACCAAAAAATATATTTTTTGCTGACCAAAAAAAACCCAAACAAAAACCAAAAAAAAACCGTAGAAGTTTGATTCATTCACACCAGATGGCTATTGCTGTGTTGACTACTGTCATTTTTTTATTTGACAATCTGGAAAAGAGGTCAGTGCCCCTAACTAAAAGTCAGGTATTGCGTGTTTTAAAAATTCTTGCGGCACACCAGTGTGCCTCTTGCAGCACACCAGTTCAAAACCACTACCCTAGGGTATCTACTGGTATAAGGGAAAAAATAGAAGAGAATGACATGAATTTAGATGGCTTAACATGATGACAGTTAACATTTTTGAACACCTGCTATGTAACCCAGCAGTATGCTGTGTACGTTATAGACATTATTAATAACTGATTATAATAATAGGAAATAATTAAAATAAGTGAAGATATAATCATAGCTATCAATCTCAAAACACCATTAATTCAAGCTGTGTACGTGACACCAACACTCTCTAGGAAACTGATTTACACAAGTGAAAGAATTTGCTTGAGGTTACACAGCATGAGACAAAACACAGTAGAAAGATACAGTCCTATCTGCAGGCAGAACAGGTTACTTACCCGGGACTCCATCCCCACTACCCCCAGACCCGCAGACCTTCTGCAGTTAACCTGCAGAAGGTTAACTGCAGTCAGTCATTCCTGGAACTAAGTTTAAATTTCAACTAATGTAGACACAGATCATTATAAGCTATGTCTTCTGTTCTTGACCACTAGGAAACAGAGATGCCTGGCTGTCTGCTGGCTCTCCCACACTGTCTTTCTGGGCAGATGTTGCCTACCTGGAATAATATGGCCTCACACAGATGAAACCTGAACTTTAAACCTCCTGGGGCCAATGAAGAGAGGACATAAAAGCTGACAAATCTTGGATCACATGTCACAAATGTCAGTCCTTAGAACCATGTTCCCAGGAGGCACTCTGGTTTAACCTGAAGATGCCCTGGGCCTTTGTACATTTTGACATCTCAAGTTTTCTCACTCCTCCAGCAAATTTTTTTTTACTGCTATGACAAGAGGTGAAATTACTACTATGACAGAGGGAAATTACTAGAATGTAAAAGACAGCTGCTGTGTGCAAATAAGAATGTGTAGAGATAAAAGATTAGTGATAAGGATGGGCAGGCAGTTAGAGAAAGATTCCAGTATAAACTAAAATAGACACAGAGAACTGGAAACTGCTGGGATGAAATGGCAGGGTTTCCTGATGGAATTCTATTTGTACCGGGTGTGGCAAATTCTTCCAGATGTTGCAGACAGCAATCTGGACAGAGCAGGAAAAACCTGACCCAGTAACAAAGTCTTAACCAGACATAATTCTAAGAACAGGACAGTATCTTTCTAAAACACTACACTGATCTAAACCCTGTGGACTTGCATCTCTCTGAGAGACCATGAACCAAAAGAAAGAGCTGAGTTGTTTCATTAAAACTAGAACACATAGGGCTGGTGTGGCTCTGTGGACTGAGCGCCAGCCTGTGAATGAAAAGGTTGCTGGTTCAATTCCCAGTCAGGGCACATGCCTAGGTTCTGGGCCAGGTCCCAGGTTGGGGGCATGTGAGAGGACATCACACATTGATGTTTCTCTCCCTCTCCTTCCCCCTCCTTTCCTCTCTCTCTAAAAATAAATAAAATCTTAAAAAAAAAGAAAACTGGAATACACAGGGCACAAATGGGACCCTTATCATATATTTTTTAGATATTTGCATATATATAGTTTGTTTCTCATGCGTCCCCAACCTGGGACCTGGCCACAGCCCAAGCACGTGCCCTGACTGGGAATTGAACCAGCGACCTTTGGGTTTGCAGGGTGGGGCTCAACCGCCTGCCAGGGTAGGACCCTTTTCAAATGCCTAAAATAAGAAAATCTCTTCCACTACCCTACTCTCACTTCAGTCACAAACTTCACTGGAACCGCTTTGACTCCTACAAAAGGAAGGGGGCCACAGCAAGACTAAACGTCCCCAAAAAGATTCCTTCAATATCTGGTCTTGCGCCTAGAATTCCTCAAGCTCTGAAGGGCTTTGGGACCCCTCATTAAAATACTGACTTTAATTTAAAACGTAATGCTTACTTTTAATTTTAATTTGTAAGGCCTTCATACTGAGTCCCTCTGGCACGGCCACACTCACAACCGCCGCCCTTACGGGTCAGGGCCCTGCACCTGGACCAAGGCTCGCCATCCCCTTACCTCCGTGGCTCTGGCAGGGCTAAGGTCCCATCATTCTTTCTGAGATCAGAATGGCTCCCTCTCTTTGGGAAAGCAAAGGAGGTGAGGAGTTAAGGACGCATCTACCCTGCCCCTACCTTCTCGCCAGGGCTCCGGCACGCCGCGTGGTCTCCCGACTGAGATGAAGTCCTCAGGGTGCCCAAGGCGTCCCCGAGCTCGTCCCCTCCCGCCGGGGTTTGCCCTTCGCCTTTCACTTCTCCATCACTCTTACCCTCCTTCTTTCCTGGCTTCCCACCTTCCCTCCGAGTGCGAGCGCGGGAACACTAGCACCTGGCCGCACTAAGGCTTTTCCCGGCCCTTCAAGGTGGGACAAGCAAAACCTGCCCCTCCCCTCCTTGTCCCTCCCTCTCAGCTCAGAGGCGTATCTCCGGCGACACTTTGTACGGGCCCACACCGTGCCGGCTCGCCTCCGTCAGACCGAGCTGCCAAGTCTCCACGTTTGAGTACGGCTGCCGCCGACCCGCCTGGCCCAATGCCCGCGGGCCGAGTGACAGCAGGGCCCCGCCCCCTGTCGGCCCCGCCATGTTTACTGAGGGCTCAAGGAGCAGCCCGGAGAGGCTGCGGAGGCGCGACCTCTGCGTCCGACGCAAGGAACGCGGGGCAGAAAGAGCGGCGGCGGGCAGGCCTTCGCTAAAGAGGAAGAAAAAGACGGGCCTGCCAGTTTCTCCCAACGAAGACTGGGCTGCACGGAGAATAGAGATGACCCCCACGGGCAACAGCAAACCCAGCACCCACTATCCCAATCCCCGGCCTACTGGCCCACACCACTAGTCCACGCCCCCTGGGGGGCGGAGCCACATGCGCTAGTCTCGCGAGCTGCTCAGAAGGACGAAGGGAGCAGGAAAATGTCCCCTCGCGCTCCTTACCGCCCTTCTGTCTCGCTACCCTGGGCTGCGGCCCTGCTCCTCGCTCTGGGCGTGGAAAGGGATCTGGCGCAACCCGAGGTACAGAAGCAAGTTAGAGGTCAGACTGAAGCAGAGGTGCTGGGCCAGCGAGTGTCGCGCTCACCTGGTTTCGGCTCCGCACAGGGGGACAGCACCTCTGATTTCGCCCTTGAGGCCTTCCCTGCCGTATTGCCCAGCTGGCCCCGGCTTACGATTGCTCACTCTGCGCAGGTTTCCCAACGTCCTAGCCCCAGCCCACATGCATTTGAACTCTCACCTCCTTGCTCCTTAATCTTTGAAGAACTACAGAAGAGTCCTTTGACTCTTCTCAGGCTCTCCAGGCACGAAAGTAGTGTGTCGTACGATGGCAGGACTACTTTCTGTAATGCTTAATGAGTTCTTTGTGTACCTGCAGTCCTTTTACACCCGGCCAAACCAGGGCTGTCAGATTGAGAAGTCACTGGAGAGAACGTAATAAATGTGTTCGGATAGTAATCCTCAAAGATGAGGGCATTCCTTGGACGTAGTCTGGTGTGCTGATTTAGCGCCCGGGAAGAAATGCATCTTCTGATCAAACCTGATATAATGGTAGGACACTTTCCTTCTCTGTGTTAGAGGAATTCTGGAGAGGTGTACTGGCAGTTAAGTTTTGATACCTGTTTATTCCTGGCTTTTTTTTTTTCTAGAGTCCTAATAGTTTTGTTTCTTCTGCAGATATGCGTCCATTGCCCTGGGAGTGTGCGAAATTTATCAGAAGTGGCCTTTTATTGTAAGCAGACACCAGAGCTGAAGTTGCAAGCCCGCTGCTGCCTGAATCAGAAGGACACCATTCTGGGGTGAGAGAGGAAAAGACATCTCTGGATAGTGGAAAAGAGTTCCCAACCCAGATTCATCAAGGCTGCCCGATTGGCTTTTGGGATAAATATCTGTGCCTGTTTTGGAGGCATCTTAACCAGGATTCTCAGTCTTGTAAATCTAGGTAAACAGTCCTGCGGTTCTTTCTGGTTGAAATTACAAACAAGTTTTAACTTTTGCCTGTTTTACTTTAAAGGCTTTTATGGCTTTGTTTTTAAAAGAGCTTTGTTTATTATCATATCTTTTGATTATTTACTGTGTGTCTCTGTGAAAAGACCCTGTAGCCTCCAGGATACTATACTAATGTGTGTTATTTTTTTTCCCTTTCTGATTAATTCATGTTTATTTTTGAGGCACATTCCTCTTCATGTCCTTTTATCCAGGTTAGTCCCTGCATTTTTTCCTTTTACCCTGTTGAGAATCCACATAATTATTACAGCTTTACCTTTATGCACCATGCAGGTGCCTACCAAAACTTGATTTCTTCTGGTATTGTTTTACCTCTCTCCAAGCAAGGTACCTCTAGCTTCCTGTTAATATCTCCTCTTGAATGCACCCTTACTTCAGACTCAAAATATCATGTCTTGCTTACATTCTCCTCTTTCCCTAACCTACCTAAATACTTCTGTGTTAAACTTTCTGAAAACCAAATTTCTTCCATTATCACACTATGGCTTTAAAATTAGAATTTCAGTTATTTGTCCACTCAAACCCTTTATGAGGGTCTGGCTTTGGTCTATCTCCAAAAGCATTGTACCTTTCTTTGTTCAGGCTTTTCTCTTTACCTGAAATTGCCTTCCTCTACCACATAAAGTCATGTCCATTCTTTAACATCTTTTGTGAATTTTCCCTACTACTAAATACCAGAGTAATATTTTTTTACTTCCACTAATCCTTAGTGTCTGTACTACTCAAATTTACTTGTATACTGTCTTGTGATTTCTTTCATATTATAAGTTAATGTTTATATTGTTTTTACTTTCGGTTATCATCTTGTTCCTCTACTGTGTTGTAAGCCTTTTGAAAGCTAAGATACTGAGGAATTGTTTTGATACTCCAAATTTTTGCAGTTAGTAGGCACTCAGTAAATATATGTAGAATAGAGGCACAGACAGCAATAGATACTGAGAAAATAATGTGGCATGGTCCTTAATATCCAGTAGTTTATATCTAAACCGCGGTAGGAAATGCATTTGGAAAAAAACCTTCATTTACGTGATTTGAATTTTTTTTCCATTGGAAGGTCTTTTGTGAATCTGAGAATCATGTCATAATGTGAGATTCACTAATCTATACAAGAACGAAATTTCTTCCGATATATGCACAGATACAAAGAACTTTCTGCCATGATGGAATGTTCCAGATCTCTACTTTCCATAGCTGTTAACTACATGTTAGTAGTTCTTGGACATTTGAAATGTGGCTAGTGCAAATGAGGGACTGAATGTTTTTTATTGAAATTAACTTAAGTAGCTACATGTAGCTAGTTAGTGGTGACTGAATTGGACTGTGCCAAATTAAAACATCTACTACAGCACTTATTTTGTGGCCCTGAACATAGCTGTGTTCAACTAATATTAGCAGAAAAGGGCTTGCATTAGCCTACAGTGGATAAAGAGGAGAGACACAAAGTTACACTGCTTACTTTACTTCTTCAGGCTGGATCTCCAGAACTGTTCTCTGAAGGACCTTGGTCCAAACTTTTCTCAGGCACATACTGCTGTCATCATGTAAGTGGTTATTTTCCCTACCAAAACGTGGCTGTGGTGAAGGGTTGATGGGAAAATCTTTGAGGATGCATTCCTAAAAAGATATTTGAATGCTGATGTCTAAACTCGGACAACTCAGAATGAGAACTGGAATACCGTTCCAGGAAGATACGTGAATGGAAGTAGGATGTTTTCCTAAAGCACAGTGCTAACAGTGTGTGCTTTTCAGAGACCTGCAAGCAAACCCCCTCAAGGATGACTTGGCCAACACCTTCCATGGCTTTACCCAGCTCCAGACTCTGTAAGTAAGGGTATGGGTTTGAGGAGAAAATCAAAGATAGGCAGGGCTGTGAGTTCAGCAACTTTAGGTCGTATATTAAGACAGCTTGTGTTGTGTTCAGGATACTACCACAAGACGTCAACTGTCCTGGAGGTATTAATGCCTGGAATGTTGTCACGTCTTACACAAACTATCAAACCTGCCAAGGGCAAAGGAACCTTTGTAATAGCACTGGGGATGCAGGTATGCTGTTCTATCTCCACCCCCTAGGGGACCCTTTCTGCCTTTGTTTTGTTTTAGGGTTTTTTAAAAATTAAATTCTTTTTTTAATTTTTAAAAATTTGTACCCATTTGAGGGAAGAAAAAGGAGGGGAGAGAGAAACATTGATGAAATTGATGAAAAATCGATACATTGATTCCATGTATTTCTGCATTCATTGGTTGTTTCTTGTAAGTGCCCTAACCAGGGATTAGACCTGCAACCTCTGCATATCTGCATGACACTCTAACTAACTGAACTACCCTGCAGAGCCATGCCTTTCCTCCTTTATATTCTCCCCATTAGGTAAAAAAAAGATAGTAAAATTGTTTACATGCCTTTTGTTTAGGTTTCTGAGGCTCTAACTTCTTGGAAAGAAAAGGTCTTAAAATATTATTTATGCTCTGAACATCTGTAGTCTTCTTTCCTTTGACATACAAACAATTGAGAGAATCCAAAGCAGATATTTGAGAAATGTCTAATGAGATCCAGTGATGTTTTGTTTTTCTCTGACTTCCAGAAATATGTCCTGAAAATGGATCTTGTGTGCCTGATGGTCCAGGTCTTTTGCAGTGTATTTGTGCTGATGGCTTCCATGGCTACAAGTGTATGCGCCAGGTGAGAAATTAAACCTTCTAATTAGGGTTACGAGAAATGCATAGAGCAAAAACCTGTCAGAAAGAAGAGCTGAAAGACCAGGAGCTGATGCAAATCACCTAGTGGAGGAAACTCGAAGAGAATTGCCCTGGTTGAGGGGATAGATATACTAGGAAAGAACTGGGTGTTAGGATGTAGCCCCTGGTGTAACCCTGTATGAGGATTTTTTTAAATCCTTTTATTCCCAGGGCTCCTTCTCGCTGCTTATGTTCTTCGGGATCCTGGGATCCACCACGTTATCCATCTCCATCCTGCTTTGGGGGACCCAACGCCGAAAAGCCAAGGCTTCATGAACTGCATAAGTCTTTCTGCTGACCCAAAGAATGACCCAATCTATCTTAGCCCAGCCAGGGACATTTGCTTCCGAAACAGGCCGGCCAGAGGGTCCTCAAGGCCACTGCCGAGGTTGGAAGGAAGATTGAACGTTGCACAGTGCCGGAGAGTTATATTCCAACCCAGGAGTGGACTAGTACCAGTTCCCATTTGTGCTGTTAACTGTAATAAACTTTTTTTTAAAAATTTTTTTAGGGAAGGTGCCCTGGCTTTGTGTGTTTCTTGGTTGGGGTGGGAAAGACTGCTTTGGAGGGTATCGGCTTTGTATTACCGGTGTCTCCGTGCATTGCACTGGGAAGGAAGGTGCCGCCTACTTCGTCGGCACCCTCGCCCCGCCTCTTTACGTGTCAGCCCCGCCCCTCACGCTGCAGGCTTCCCGCGCAGCCGCAGGCTCCCGCTACCCAGTGTGCCTGCGCTTTCCGCTGCGTAGGACCGCTAGCCACGTGTAGCCATCCTAGGCCCACAGGCTTCACGTGTGGTTCCATCAAAGGCAGAAACTTGCGGCGCTTCCAGCTCTGTTTTCCCACGTCTCTGAGCTCCGTTCCCATGGCGACCCTGGTGTTGGAGGATGGGCTGGTCCTGCGGGGCCAGGCCTTTGGGGCCGCTGTGTCTACTGCCGGAGAAGTGGGTAAGCAAGCCCGGTCCGGCTGCCGACTCCATCCCACTCTCTGCTGGCCCTCTCTGCCCAGCCTGCCCTGTCCAGACCCCGCCATTTTCCCGCCTGCACAATTCCCCCGCCCCCTTCCCCCAGCCTTTCGGCGCCGGGCCCCAGCCCAGCCCCTTTCATCTTTCACAGCCAAGGCAGCCTCCACTGGGGCATTTTCATCTCGTGGGGAGTGACTGAAGGGAGCCCTGCCTGAGCCCCCAGGCCTGCCTCTTTCTTGCAGTGTTTCAAACCGGCATGGTCGGCTACCCCGAGGCCCTGACTGATCCATCCTACAAAGCTCAGATCTTAGTGCTGACATATCCTCTGATCGGCAACTATGGCATCCCCCCAGATGAAGTGGATGAGTTCGGTCTCAGCAAGGTAGCCACGCCCGATGCTTTATCTATGTTCCTTTTAAATTAGTACCTGTTAATGAAGTGAAAACACTGACATTCCGCAAGGCACCCTGGAGTGGACAGAGATACCAAAGTTATAAAACAAGTGCTGTGCAGGGCTTGTTAAGGACCTTGAGAAGCACAGCAGCTGGAGGCTAAGCCCGAGTCTGGGCTTCCATCAGGAACCAGTGACAAAAAAGGAACCAGTTATGATTTTTTAGCAGCAGAGTCCTGTGAAGGGAGCAACGCTTTAAGGTTACATAGATCAGTGGGAAAGAGAATAGAGTCACACCCTCTCCAGTGACAGCAGGTTCCAGTTCAAACCAGTGAAATTGGTTATTATTTTCTAAACCTATTTTCCTTACCTTGCCTCATTTCCTCCCACTTGTCAATAAAGTTCTTACATCTAGATAAGAAAACTCAAGCTTCTTCCCACAGTGAGGTTTTCCATATCCCTCCTATCCTAGAAATTGTAAATTAGGTTGCCCTCTGAGAGTTCAAGCAATTAAAAAAACACACACACACACACACACAAGAAGGGAAGTCACCATAGCCTGGGTGGAATTTTTCTCAGACTTGCTTTCTCCTGACTCCAGGCTTACTAACCCTTTGTTATGAGTTTGCCTTCCACATGGGAGAGGTAACTCTAGGTAAGGGTCACACTTGTTACTCCTGGAAAGTACCATTCCTCATCACAAACCTATAAATACATGACATTCTACCTTATAATGCAGTATCTTAGTCAACATTTGTTGATCTCCAGCTTTAACTGGAAACACACTGACAAAATTGGTTTAATAAACCTGGAGAATTGAGGCCCTCTTAGAACTAGGGTAAGGCCTCCTAGAGCCACCAGAACCATGGATGCTTTTGTGGCACAAGTGTTGTAAACACACTTGTCCATGTGCAGAGAGTCCTGGACACAGGGTTCTACCAAACTGTTCTTCCAATCCCTAAATAACAATGTCAATATCCACCTTTCTTTAAATCTTCCATGAAGCAGATGTAATAGAATATGTCACTCCCTCCCACGTAAGTGACTTGTTTCTCTGTTTGGTTATTAAGTGCTTATCTGTTGGATGACAAATTTGTGTTACCTTTTTAAACTGTAATCCCCTATGAGGAGAAAGGGTATAATCCCTGGCTGGTATTATTCCCTGAACCTTTATTTTTATATAGTAAGATATTGTGCCTCTACCTGTCATACACTGTTTCTATCACACTCTGTAATAATGATTTTGTTTATTTACAAATTACCTTGTTAATTTTCATGCTCCCTAAGTAACAAATTAACACTGTGACTGTTAAGGACCTTGTCTTTTTTCATGCCCATTGTTCCTTCCCCAGCACTCAGTAAATGTTTATTGACTGCTACCAAGTGTCAGTCACCTTGATCTTGAGGAGCTCACAGTTGTGTGAGGAAGACACAAACACATTCATACCACCATGTAAATTGGAAGGACAATGGAAATGAAGTGAGCTTCGGAGAGCTCTAAGGAGGAGGCACAAGCTGCAGTGGGGTGAGGGGGGTGGCTTCACAGAAGGGGATTTGTGATCTCAGTTTTGGATAAAAGGAAAGGAAGGAAAAAGGAAGATCCATTAACAATTAGACACCCTGGGCCCATGTGTTCAGTCTTTCATGTGGGGGACAGCACTGCTGGTAAAGGGCAAAAGCATGAGGTTGGTGTGTTTAAGGAATGACAGTTCAGTGTGGTTGATGTGCCAGACAAGGGTCCATGCCATGCAAGGGAAAGATGACATAGGAAGATACATGGCCCTAGGCTCCTCACAATCTCTTCCTTCCATCAACAGTGGTTTGAATCCTCGGGGATCCATGTGGCTGGATTGGTGGTGGGAGAGTGTTGCCCCACACCCAGCCACTGGAGTGCCAGCCGCACCCTGCACGAGTGGCTGCAGCAGCATGGCATACCTGGCCTGCAAGGTACAGTGCAAACACGGGTGTTTGGGCAGAGTGCAGGTGCCTGGGTGAAAAGAGTCGAGCACATCTCTTTGCCCTGTTGGGACTTGACTCCAAAGTTGTGATAAAACAAATCTGATTAGAAGGTTTAGATTGGGGTCCGGGGCAAAGAACTGAGCTCTTGCTCACATGGGAAATTTGAAACATACAAAAAGAGAGAAATACATAATGAACCCCCAGCTTCTTTTAGCCACTGACTCAGGGCTATACTTACTATATCGCCACTACTCTAACCCCCAGATTATTTTGAAGCAAATATCAGACATTGTGTAATTTTATCCATAAACAGTTAAATATTAATGAAAAAAATCCTTTAAAAACATGGCTACAAGCCCTGACTAGTGTGGTTCAGATTGGGTGCCAGTCTGTGAATTGAAAGGTCACTGATTTGATTCACAGCCAGGGCACATGCCTGGGTTGCAGGCCAGGTTCCCCAGCTGTGGGGTGGTGAGAGGCAACCATGTATCTCTCACACATTGATGTTTCTCTCTTTCTCCTTCCCCTTCTCTCTAGAAAAGTAAATAAATAAAATCTCTTTAAAAAAACAACAAAACACCACATAACACACCTTTTTTAAAAAAATATTTATTTTTAGAGAAAGGGGAAGGAGAAAGAGAAACACTGACCAGTTACCTCTCACGTACCCCAACCCAGGGACCTGGCCTGGAACACAGGCATGTGCCCTGACCAGGAATCCAACTGGTGAACTTTTGGTTTGTAAGATGGCACCCAGCCCACTGAGCCACACCAGTTAGGGCAATATCATACCTTTAAAAAACTAACTGATTTCTTAATATCATCAAATATCTAGGCAGAGTTTAACATAGTCCCAGTTATCTGATTTTTTTACGGTTTACTTGAAACTGGATCTAAATATCCGTATATTACATTTAGTTATATCTTTTTTAATCTATGGGCCTTGTAACCTATTTGACAAAAACAGGTCAGTTTTTCTTTTCAGTGTTATTTAGTATGTTCTTTCTCTTTTTTTTTAAAAGATTTTATTTATTTATTTTTGGAGCAGAAGGAAGAGAAACATCAGTGGGTGGTTGCCTCTCATGGACCCCCAGCGGGGGACCTGTCCTGCAACCCAGACATGTGCCCTGTCTGGAAATTGAGCTGATGACCCTCTGGTTCGCAGGCTGGTGCTCAGTCCGCTGAGCCACACCAGCCAGGGCAGCATGTTCTTTTTCTAAACCGATAGATCTAGAGTCATGGTACAGTTCAGGTATAGGTATTTTTGGCAAGTGTACCTGATTGTAGTACCACTGTCACCAGGGTGGCCCAGGACTCTGGTGCCCACGGAATAGCTGTGTGTTGCTGAGGGCTGTGGGATGGGGTTCTCCTTGCAGTTTTAACCTCCCGTGTGACTGGGTTAGGGAGTGTGGTCTCTCAGAGCGTGCTGTTTCAACAGGAGTGGATACTCGGGAGCTGACTAAGAAGTTGCGAGAGCAAGGGTCTCTGCTGGGAAAGCTGGTCCAGGATGGGACGGAGCCTTTAGCCCTGCCATTTGTGGACCCCAATGCCCGCCCCCTGGTGCCAGAGGTCTCCATTGAGGTACAAAGCAGCATGGGAGACTGTTCTGCCCATAACTGGGGAGAGCACTTGAGGGAGACTCAGAAGAGGCTTCAAAGTGAAGGATTGGTGTGTGCATATCTGTCCCCACTGATCACAGCAGCCAACTGTCTCCCTGTATTTCCCAGGCACCACGGGTATTCAATGCAGGGGGTACCCCTCGGATCCTTGCTTTGGACTGTGGCCTCAAGTATAATCAGATCCGATGCTTGTGCCGGCGTGGGGCTGAGGTCACTGTGGTACCCTGGAACCACGCATTGGACAGCCAGGGTGAGTGGCTGGAGCCTCTGTAGGACCCCAGACAAACAGCACAGGTAGAAGATCTGTGCCTTGGTATAACTGCTAAAAGTCAACATGAGTCTCGGTGAAGACAATGGAGATAAGGGATTTTGCTTAAATGGAAAGGGCTTCAAGTGTGTCTCTAGTTGAATACTGGTTTTGATGGCCTCCTTCCTGCCCATTCCAGAATATGAGGGTCTCTTCCTGAGTAATGGCCCCGGCGACCCTGCTGCCTATCCCAGTGTGATATCTGCACTGAGCCGTGTCTTATCTGAGCCTAATCCCCGGCCTATCTTCGGGATCTGCCTGGGCCAC